GGAAAGTTATTTGTCTAGAACCAAAGGGAAGTTAATTGCTGTAGGAAAAAAAAAAAGGTATTTCTAGCTCTCTGTCCTGTGGTCAAGCCTATGCTGCTCCTCCTCTTCACTGAGTTATATCACTGTCTGGTTTGTATAAGCTGGTTTTATTTGCTTTGAGATGGAGAGGGGCGAAGGTCTTTTTGCACTAAGTCATATGGGATCCCAGCCTGGATAACCACTCTGAAAGTGGAGTTCTGCCCTGGTATTGGCTGGTGCATTGGCTCAGAGGGAGAAACCACAGTTGTGTTTAGCAGGAGCTCTTTTCCGTGGAGAGACTTTATCAATCAAAAACCTCCAAGGCAGTGGAAACCTGGTAATACAGTGCTTAAGATGCATTTCTTGATGAAGTAGAAGCAGATTATGCTTATGTAGGACCTCAGCTCACAGCATAGTAACTCTCAGTCAGATACTGTTTTCATTAAAATAAATAAATAAAAATCATGGCAGGTTGCATTACAGCAAAACACTTGAAAACACAAAATTGAACCTTCCTCACCTTGAAGTTATCCTTTCATTACTGATTTCCTTGGTGCTTTTTTTTTTTAATTAGCAGCAGTAGCAGACAGTCGTCTTTTGCAAGCAGTCCATTCTTAATCTGATGATGCAACAGTACCGTGATCCCCTAGTGCTCCAGAAGAGACTGATACACTCCAGGTTACCAGCAAGCCCTGTCCCCAAGGTTAAGGTTAGCCCAGGCATCACGTAACCGCAAGGCTTGCTGAGAACAGGCCACAGGGCACTTGTTTGGTGATGGTTCGTTTTGAGGTGACATATATATTGGTTTTTGTCTGTCCTTACCCAGGTGTAGCTGGCACAGCGGTGCCTGTCTTGTGCACACAGCCGGTGACCGGGAAGTGGTGGCAGCTGGCAGAATGGGATCGCTGCTTTCTTCTGATGGGGATAGGGCCCCAGTGTGCAGTGGGGTTCCACTCCTCGCTTGCCTTTTGTTTCCATAGAATAGAGCAAGCGACAAAAAGTGGAGATCTCTCTTAAAGGCTGTTTTCTCTTAGCACCAGAGCATTACTTGGAGTAAATTATTCACACCTCCATAATGTGATCTCCCTTTATTTCTTTAGGCCTGATCTACACTTGCAATTTGCCCCAGTTACAGCCATTAGTTCCTGTTCAGCAGAGCCACAGCATAGGAAGACAGAAACATAATTTTCCTTGTGCGGATTTGTACCAATTTCTGTTAATGATGCTGTACTGGTAGCATAGGGATGTGTATCTGCTTTCACCACCTTCTGTTTTATCACTGGCATTTTCTCCCATCTCAACTGGGCTTTTGTGCTTCAGACAGTTGTAGAATAGCTCACTGAGGCAGTGTGCGTTAGAGAAGGGGCTCCAGTGCTGGATCCAAGAGCCTGGATTCTGAATCCTGGTTTTGCCCTAGATTTGATGTGTGACAACGAGCAAATCGTGTTTTCTCTCAAGCATCTGTTTCCTTAGCTGTAAAATGGGAGAATGACATAAGCTGATTATATAGCCCTTTGAGGTGGGTAAGTGTGCTAGCTACTGTGGACAAAGGAAAAACAGTGTTAAATAAAAGTTGGATAACCTAGTGGGGTTTTTAAAAATGTTCTGGTGTCATGATTTAAGCTATTTTCTAATCCTGTTTATTTTTCTAAGAGAAGCATGGGGGTGTATTAGCACAGACCAGAGAGTAGGAGCTGCTTTGGAGTGTTGGCATGCCACCACCTCAGCACACAAAATAAACTGTGTGTACTTCTTCATGGTGAAGCATTTTTGGAGGGATGCAGAGAGGAAGTTAGCCTGCACTATGGATGGAGCTGGATTTGGCTGTGACCAGCCTTGCTGGTACCTGGTATTTTTTGTGGCTGCCAGCTTTTCATAGGCATTTCAGCTTAAACATGCCTTTCAGGACTAATTTTATGGCCATTTTGGTTTTGAAGAAAACTGCAAAGGTGACTGCAGGAGTAGACAGGACAGAGATGCTCGCTTTTGCAGACGGTGTAGCAACAGCTCAATTGCCCTGAGAAGTGTAAAGTCGCCCGCTCGTATCTCTCAGGCACTAACACACAGAGCTGCACCTGACCTTACAGAGTTCTTAGTAGAAACTGCCAAGCTGAGCAGCTAGGCAAGCTGCTCTCCGACAGTTACTCTGCCACTGCCTGTTGCGTGTTTGTTATCCAGCTGACAAATAACATGTATATTTTGTGAGAAGATGGTATAGACTGTGCAGGAGATAAGGAGCTTCTCTGATAAGGATGAATTTGCCAGCTTGGAACTGGACTTCAGCATTTGTTCTGAATCTCACTGTTAACAACTGGATGATGAGGTTTTTCTTTAATGTCCATTTAATCCTTCCTTAAGCATGATTCGCGTTGTCCTAATCCAAAGCTACTGTGTTGCAAAGCATACAAGCTGTGAAAGGAACTTTGCATTAATTGTTCGCTCACTTTTTCTGTATGGCTTCTGTTGCCTTTGCAGAGTGTTTTTGTTTACAGCTTGATCTCATGCCCATTTCAGCCGGTATTAAAATTCACATTGACTTCACTGGGTGTTGTCAGTGTTAACTATTTTCCACAGAAATTCTTGCTGTTGCTAGCCTGAAATGTTGTTCACTTAGTAAAGGAAACTGTGTCTAATAAATAAGAAAAGATGTGTGCTTTAGGGGAACCTTGGCCACTAGTTTCCTACATTGTTTTCACTGCTTGATTGCATGGAGTTGGGTAACAGTTGGGATTTTTAGGGGGAAACCTAGGATAAAACTAAGATTAGTAGTTCTTTAGACTCATAAACTCACCTTTAAATTTTCCTGAGAAGTACCCAGAATATATCAGGGACGACATTAAGAAAAGCAGTATCATGTAACTCTGTGACAGTCCCTGCATTTCTCAATGTGTTTAGGTTTCTTGCCTGTAAAATAAGCATAATTTTAATCCTCTGTCTCAGAAGAGCAATGAGTATTCATACAGTAACAAGGAGTGGTTCTTGTTTTACCAACAGTTGTTTGCAAAGAGGAAAAGTATTGAGAAGTGCTGAGCAGAGTTCCTGGAAGGATGATGATGTACAGCATTTTAACGTGCTTTCTGCCATCATTTTCCCCCTTCTCTTTCAGTGCTAACTCTCCTCTTAAAGCTGTAAGGCTGCCGAATCTAGTTTCTTTCAGATTTGCGGGAAAATTAATTGTGTGTGACTTAAGAGCTCTGCCTACTCTTAATTGAAGGCATAGAGGACTGAAGCTTTGAAGAAAGCATAATTTTCCCCTAAATGTTTCCCAGTCATTTGAACTGAGTAGATGTTAATGAAAACCAGCATTAAAACAAACAAACAACCCCCCCAAATTAAAAATCAGCTGAATAAAGCCCATTTCTGTTACATATTTACTAGGCATTATCCAGTGCCCTTTGAAATAGGCAGCGCCTAACCCCAGTGGTAGAGAAGCGTTTAAGCTGTGAATTACATTGGGTAAAATTTCAGCATTCTTTTTCTAACTTTCAGATGCAAAAAGAAAACGCAGCACAGACAGCTATTCATCAGATTCGTGGTTAGACATGGATGAAGAATCTTGTGATGCCCATATCCGGGAGGAGAAGGATGACAGCTTGGACAAGAACTCCAAATCCATGGTGGATGGCTCCTCCTCACCCAACAGCACACACTCAGAAGGGAAGGAGGGTGCAGGAAGAAAACAAAAAGCCACAGTAATGAGATATCTAAAAAGAACTTTGTCTAATGAGTCAGATGACAGCGTAAAATCAACAACCCCCATGGACTATCCCAAAACACCAACGGGGTCTCCAGCTACAGAAGTTTCAACCAAATGGACTCACCTCACAGAATTTGAACTGAAGGGTTTAAAAGCCCTGGTAGAAAAGCTTGAATCTCTCCCAGAGAACAAGAAGTGTGTTCCAGAAGGCATCGAAGATCCGCAGGCTCTCCTAGAGGACATGAAGGTGGGTGTGATAACTTGCTGATCCACCCAAACTGTATTCTGTGGGCATAGAAGACAGCAGGAGATCAGAAAGCAAGGTTCTGCAGTAGAGGGATGGCAGCTTGTGTGTAGTGACCACCTCTTATCAGCCTGCAGTGCTACAGAGAGGGAAATTATACCTCTAACAAAAGCCATCTCTGCTCTGGGGAGATGGCTGTTTGCAGTCTGATTTATTTGATGCAGTCCTTTCTGACTGTCACAGCAGTGGCCAAAAGTTTAGGTCCTCTCATAGTTCAGCACTTGTTATGTCCCATGTGTAAATATTATACTTCAAAAAGCCCAGTTATATTTATGGTCTTAGTCTGCCCTTTTTGGTCTAGTGCCTTTCTGGACTATTAACTGGCACATACAAACTGTAAATACTTGATTGTCATTCAGAAGATGTATTGTCTAACATTTTCAGTTGCTTTTTTTTCTTTCACCTTTTTCGTTTTCTTTTCCTCCATTGCCCTCTATAGGTTGATAATTATTCTCCACTGGTACAATATACTGTTTTTGGAGATGGTGTGAGGAGTGAATGCTCACTAGTGACAGAACTTCTCTTTAGATTTTTAGTATACTGGAATGGTAACTCATCTGACTTAGGGACAAATTCCTCATGAAGACCAGCATGACCTTGCTGCTTCTAGTCCCAGCCCTGCCTCTGATCGTGGCATCCCTTTGGACAACCTGGTTAGCTCTTCTCTATCTTGTTTTCCCATTGGGTAAAATAGGCTTTTTTTTTTTTTTTTTTTTTAAACAAATCTGAGAGCAGGATACTGTTGTAATTTTGCTGGGATTTGTCAAATAAGGCTAAAATTGTCAGCCTGTCCTCCGCAGGTCCAGTACCATGGCAATTTGGCCTGATGTGGAACTATGAGTATTGATTCATGGTCTTGTGTTTGGACTGCTAGCTTTGTGTTGTTTCTGTGTACAGTATGGCAGTTCAGCTACACATGTTCTATAACAACAGCTGCGTGAGCCACAATCTGAGGGGAAAAATACGTGTTTATATGGTAAAAGAGGAGCCTGTACTTTTTTAGTGCAAGTAGCGTAACAGCTGCTTAGAAAAGGCTTCAAAGCCAGTTAAAGCTGAATATACACAGTGTGCAGTGGAACCATATTCCACAATCGTGGAGCCTGGAAGTGTGATGCACAGCACTCATTTTGGTAAACCACAAGAGCTCAGAAAGTCTCTTCTTGCAAAATCATCCACTTTCATAGACAAAGTGGACGCACATGCCCAAAGTCATGGCTGTAGATTGACTGGCTTGCTATGTGATCAGTCATCTTCTAATCAGAAATCAAAATGAAGCTTCAAGACCAGGAGCTGAATTTGTGGTGAAGGAAAAAGAACGGTAGCGTTACTTTTCCAAGCTTGATGCACAGACCAAGTTTCCTTCAAAATCAACTATCCCTTCTTGAAATCCCAGAAAGGGGTACAACACATAATAAATGGTGCAGATGTTCAGAATATGACCGTGCATGCTCTTTTGATGACATACTCAATGCACTGTGAGACATCTTACTAGGACACGGCAAGATACCATATGTGAATCTGGCTGAAAGCACCGTGTAGGAGTATATGCTTTCTTATTCCTCTTTAGAGCAGTGGATTCTCTAGCTACAGACATGGAGAACTGCAAACAGACATTTCAAAAAAAGGCCCATCCTCCACTTTTTGGTGATATTGTGCTTTAAGTTAAGTTTATTAAGTGGGCACCTGCCAGTTTATTTTGTGCATCTTGCAGAGTTGCAGTCTTGATGTTCCCTCTCCTTTGATAACTGCCTGCTTCTAAACTTTCTCTCCTTGCCAGCACACACTGTAACCATCAGGATGTAGCCCAACATCTGGATATTTATGGTTCCCTGCTGGTTAAAGAGCCCCTGACCACATCTAAACATGTATGCTGCAGAATTGTTTTCTCTAGAATCGCCTCTGTATGTTTGGCGTGCCTGTGACTGATTAGTCAGAGTAAGACCTTTTAAAAGGATGTTAACTCAAACATTTTCTTCAAATGTCTAAAGAAACCTTAAAGAACTTTCTTACCCATCACTCTTACCATATTGGCCCACAGTCAATACAGCACAGTAGATTAATTAAACCCCTATAGCCTGCTCCCTCCATAACTCTCCCTGCGGTTGCATAATCCCCTTGCTAGGTGCTCTGGAGGAATCGGGGTGGTTTGGGGGAGTTGCACTCACATCAATGGTTGCTTGAGTACGCTTCCTCTGAAGTCAGGGGTGGAGCCCAGGACTCTCCCTCCACACAGGTCTTCCCTTTGCTCATCAGCAAATTGTCTGAGGCAGCCCCCCTGACGAGGTGTGTCCCATTCCCATCTCCTGTTGGGACCCTGGATGTAAAAGCATCCTATCTCCTTGTAACCCATTTCATACCAAAGCGTGAGGTTTGTTTTATTCAGTTTGTTAGCTTTAAAAAATTAATCAGAAACAAGTATATCGGTGCATGTTTAGGGCTTCTACCCTGGAAGGATAGAGCATGCTGCTGGAAAAGTTGCCAAGTAACTGATTTCAGCCCCTTGAGCATACATCTAGCATACTGGTCCTTGCAGGATTCCTGTATCACTTGGTGTGCAGAATGCAGCGATTCAGTATTTTGTTCCGTCCTTGCTCCTCAGTGTGTGTTAGGTACAGCATGCTGCTCAAACCCTCAGCTGAACCTGGGGATATGAATGTTCCCTTTGGGTTCCCAGTCCTTCTCCTCAGTACGGTAGTCATGCTCTTCACACATGGTAATCGATGAGCTGCTGTTATCTCTGGTTCACAGGTAGGGAGTGAGGGTGCAAAGACATTAAGACAAAAGTGACCATAATTTTGGATGCTGGTTTTACATGCCACGAATGTGATTTTCAGAAAAGTTAGTATTATTTAAGAATAATGCTAAAGATCATTTTAATGATACTGAAACTGTAATTGCTTAACATTTCTGCAGAGCAGAAGTTCTGATCTTTAGCATCCAGATCCCAAACCAGGTGTCAGGAAGAGTAGGAATACAATTCATGAGTGCCTGTGGAAACTTGATTTAAAAAAATTGTTGTCACACAATGGCAGAAGAAGAAATACAGTCCATTTTTTTTCAGAATGCTATTTATCTCCTTGACCACTAAATCATATTCCCTCTTACTTTGCTACTAGTTTTCCAACTTGTAGAGAAAATCATGTGGGGATTTTGCTGACAGCATTAGCAGTAGAGTGAGCAGAAGCCTGGCACCTCTGCCTCACCCTGATGCGTATCCAGAGCACCAGTCATCTCTGTGACTGAATGGAGGCAGAAATCCTGCAGAAAAAGCTGTGTAGATCGTATGTGCTGTGACTGTAATCGGCTGTATTCACAAGGTTTATTTCATGGGCAACCTGACTTTTGGGCATGTGATGTTTTAATAATACATCCTATAAAAAGTACGCTTTTAGTGCACCCATTTGAAAGTGATTTTTAACAAATGCATAGCAAGAACATGCTCTGACAGAAAGTCTGAAAGCTGTTGCTCTGCTTGGAAAGTTTTAAACAAGTTTCTTCCTGAAGAAAATAAATCCATGTTTATTGAAGCAGTTTTATTTCTTAATGAAATACACTCAGGAACTTTTCTGTATGACTTTCAAGTCTTTGTGCTTCAGTAAGATAATTAATGTTTTCAGAACACAATATATGGGTAGTTAAACTGGAGAAAGGAAACCATTTTATTCAGTGATGCGAAGTTTCACACAAATCAGGATAACTCTCAAAGAATCCATGCTTTCCCATCTGAGCAAGAATACGGTAAAGGACGGTTGAGTGGCTTACTGCTCTTAGTGGTAAATACAACTACAGCTATTTAATGTCAAGTAGGTGAGACTCTTTGAAGTAATTTATTTTCCTTACGAGAAGGGAGACTGAAAACTAAACTAAGCCTGTGTAAATTCCTTACGTTATCTAAGCTCCTAACTAGCTGCGACTATCTAGTGGGGGCACAGCAATCCAGAAGTGCCAAGCCAATGCCTCTGCAGATGGAGAACCCATTTATCACCATGATCGATGGAGTGCAGCAGCACAAGGGAGGCTTATTTGCAGAGCATAACGCGGGCCTCACTTGGGGAGCAGGTCAGTTCTTCCCTCAGCTCAAACAAGGGATTAAATTCTTGTCAGCTGCAGCTCTGCTGTATGGGCACTGTATCTGTGTTTACCACCAAAGGAGCTTCTCGGAGGCCTCCAAACAGCGATTACTGACAGTGGCGTTCAGTCCGTGGCAGATGGCATCTGAACAATCGGCCGAGGAGATGCAATACTCTCTGGATCTAAATGTCTGCGGCTGGGCTCTGTGTGAGCTGTATGTGCAGCAAATGTGAGGGGAAATTGTTGTACAAACATACCCTCCCCAAGAGTGCTCAGCTGACCCATGTTGCGGAAGGATGGAAGGCTTGGCAGCGTAGCTGTTGGCAGGGTGAGCAGCCAGAGGACGCTGCAGCCGTTGCCCACACATCCTTGCTGTTGGTGTTGCTGTTGGAGGCACACGCAGCCTGCAGTCGTACCTTGTCTTCCATATATACGTGCCCTGAAATGGAATATGAAACAGCGCAACAACTCCTGCTCCCAATCTAAAAATTAAGTAGCAGCTGAACCGTTAGAAAAGCGCCTACACTGAGCAGATGAGGAAGAGAAGGAGGAAGAAACCCCAAATCCCCAAGAAGTAATTTTACTTAGATGATGGCCCTGGAGATCAGAAATTTCATCACATGGCTTCTCCACTTCATATTTAGCTCCCAAATGGTATGTTAGTTTACTAAAGATGTAGTTGGGGTGGACTTACACGTGAAGAAGAGAATAGAGAGGTAACCAACTTACTCCTTGGTGTAGTTTGCACCCCACATCACAGGACAGGTAAAGCTGAGCAGACCTTTGATTGTGACAGTCTGTGTCCCACATTAAACACTCTGCCAGTGATACTTGTCTGTACACAGCCTCTGATTTCAGCACACAACGTTTCTGTTGTGTTACCAGCAGGATGGTAATTCCTTTGTTGCTGTTGGGGAAGAGGATTGTGAGATCTGCCTCCTAATAATGCCACGGACTTTCCCCGCTTCAAAGCAAAAATGCTGCTGCTCTTCAGAAGGGACTGTGGAAGTCCATTAGGGCAGAAGAAACTCAGTTTGAAGAACAGAGTTTGTCAAATATCCACAACTCCTTGGCAGCAGCAGAAGATTCTTGTGCAAGACAGATGATATCTACTGAAATATGTTCTTACTTTTTCTTGCCAAGAAATCTTACCCCCTTCTCATTCTGATGACAGGAAAAAAACTCCCTCTACTGAATGCATTTCAGGGGAGTCACTCCTTGCTGTGCTTTTGAAATTAATGGCTAAGCTGAATTCTTACATACTTAATCAGTTTCTTTCCTTCATACCTGCTGTTGTCACCACAGCCTTCAAGTGTAATGAATCAGGCAGCCTTGTGCTGGATGAGCATCACGTTGTTTAACTAGAGCCCCATGGCTTTTTGGCTTTTCTTTATCTTTTTCTTTCTCTTTTTTTTTTTTTTTTTTTTTTTTTTGAGCAGGTGAACAAAAGTCTGCCTCCTCCAGCCTGTTGTGCGCTGACACCTGACACTACAGTCGGTGCAACTGTGGCTTGGTTATGGTTCTGCTGCTCAGACATCCATTGTTTTCGGCTGGCTGAGATGATAAACTGCCATAGTTTTACATTTCTTCTTGGGTAATATTTTCACGTGATACATACGATAACAAGAAACCTTGTTATCCTGCCAAGTTCTTGGAATATACTCTGCTTTCTATTGAACTGAGAGTCTCTGACAGTCGTTAGTGGAAATGTTAAGTTTTTCTGCCTTACAAGCTTTCAAATCTAAGAGTAGCAAAGTAGAGAGGGATTAATTTGTCCTTTGTTTATATGGCTCTCAAGCTGCTGCCTTGTTCTGGAGAATTTTGGCTTTGCTATGAGAATACAAAAGACCTCTCCATTTTTAGGATTGAAAACTAGCTTTCAGAATGTGGTCACAGTTCAGTTAATACAGTGATCACTCTCAAAATAAAAAGGACACGAGAAAAGAGAATGCTCACTTAACCTCAGCTGAGCCAAGAGTTGATTTCATAGAATCACAGACTGGTTTGGGTTAGA